ATGTCACAAACTTGCTTCTCCAAATGGTTCCTTTTAAATCCTTAGAGGCTCACAGTATGTTACTAAATCAGAAACTGATACACAATGCAGATGCTTTCTGTTGATCTCACACTCATTTATATTGTCTTCTTTTATTCCTTTTTTTTTGGGGGGGGGCACATTTTCCATGGTTGTGTTTTGTACTCTGTGTTTTAAATAGAGCTGCAGTTTTTATAATTCTTATACACCGTTTACCATTTTCAGGGGCTCAAATGTAACTGGATATTTCATTTACTCACTCATCGTGGCCGATTTCTTTCTTTATGATAAGCATTTGAAAGAAAATCTATTTCAAGTAAATCATAGTTCTCATATAAATACAATGTTACTTGACTTACTGCATCAATAACAGGCGCAACATCTTAACAACACTTGAGGAACAAGAAAAATTAAAATATTCAGAAAGACATGGAAAACATATATATGAGAACCATGCAAAAATTGCAACATTAAGTTTCATGCTTCTGTAAAAAGGAAAAACAGTAGTGAGCTCAGCAACAGAAACGGCCTAGAGGTCTACAGAAGACGACAGTGGTGGATGATCTTATATCCAGCCAAGTGAGGAAAGCTCAACAGGAAGTAAACATGCCATTATCCCAGTCTATCATAAGCAGACATAGGGGAAAAAACATCTGTGAGCCTAAAGGAAAGAAAGATGACATATTGCTAAAAACATAAGAATCAATAAGAGCAGTTCTCTAACTGCATTATTTAGACAGATAAAACTAAAACCTGTAACACAAGAACAGGAAGAAAAAAGTATGGAGAAGGTTTACAACGGCTCATAATCCAAAGCATAGTACCACATACCTTATAAAAGTGTGTCAGTGTGATGCATGGGCATGCAGATATCCTTAGTCCTTAGCAGGGCAATACAACACTGCTGCTTGTTTGGCTCAGTGGGTGAGCAGGTGACTATACACAACAGTGCAGCAGTTTAAGAAGTCTGACTCACGGTCCTTTGCTGGGTGTCTTCACCTTCTTTCTCTGTCTATATTGTCTTGTCACAGAAGTTGTGGATTTATTGGATTTACGCTTGCTTTCGATTTTGCCTGACTTTGCTTCAAGTGATTTTTGTATTTGTGGTGTTGTAATCATGTTGCTAATGGGGAAGTTACAGACTGCCCTCTGGTGGATAAACCATTCGTACATGGTTGTTTTGCATCCCTTCTTTACTGTTTTCATTTTCATTTTCATTTATTGGCCATTATAAATCCGAATACCAGTATATCACCAACTAAATAATCTCGACCAATCGACAAGGCTCTAATGAAATGATACAAGATAAACTTTGCTGTCCGTAGTGTTATATTCTGTTCAGAGTCATCTTAATGCAGCAAAGTGTTTGGATCAGTGTGGCCGCTGGATAGTGACCAGAATATACATTAAAAGCTTTTTGGGAGCTTTTTGAAAATAAAACTAGTGCTTTGAACGACCAGGTCTGTCACCGGATCTCACTGAGCAGCATTTCAGTAGCTGAAGACAAAACTGAAAGCAGAAAGGCTCA